CGCCCATCCTCCACTACCTGGTGGAGAAGATGGACGTGTCCCGAGGCACCTGGACGGAGGCTGCCGAGGTGTCTGGTCTTCAGGCTGATGTCCACGGCCTCGTGCACATGAAGGAGTACCACTTCCGCGTCAAGGCTGTCAATACCATTGGCGAGTCTGAGCCTCTTTGCACTGACAAGAGCATCATTGCAAAGAATGCTCAAGGTATGATTTTTTATTATTTATTTATTTGTTTATAATGACTTTTCACTGAAGGAATAATTTCATAATAGTTATCATACAAATCATGTATTTTTTTTTTACAATTAACATAACCATATAGTCTCAGCCGTTGCACTTTATTTACTGTTTCGCTGTGTTTGCTAGACGAGCCCAGCCCGCCCGGCCGCCCCAACGTGGTTGACTGGGACAGGGACCACGTCGACCTGGAATGGACTCCGCCCAGCAACGACGGCGGCGCTCCCATCACCGGATACATAATCCAGAAGAAGGAGCGCGGATCGCCTTACTGGCAGACGGCAGCGCGCCTGAGTGGCCCAGAGACCAAGGGCACCGTGCCCAACCTGATGGAGGGACAGGAATACGAATTCCGTATCATCGCCGTCAACAAGGTCGGCAACTCTGAGCCCTCTGAGCCTTCAGACTCCGTCATCTGCAAGCCTAGGCATCGTAAGTACTTTAAAATTGCTCCATGCACGCGTACATACAAACGCTGATTATGTTTTACTAAAAAAAATATTACTGTTTTTGCATTGCATAAATGCCGTCCATGATTCCTTTCTGACTACAATATCTCTCTCCAGTGGCACCCAAGATCCTCGGCCCGCTCTACGACGTGCGCATCAAGGCCGGCCAGGTCCTCCACATCGACGTGGACTACATCGGCGAGCCTTCGCCCGACGTCTTCTGGTTCAATGATGACAAGGAAGTCAACTCCGACATCAGGACGACCATCACTGCCATCAACAACCACAGCGTCCTGCACTCCGTCAACACCGTCCGGGCGGACTCCGGCGAGTACCGTATCCGCGTCAAGAACGAGAGCGGACAGGACGAAGCCACCATCAATGTGGTCGTCATGGACACGCCAGGACCTCCCGAAGGACCCCTGGTGTACGAGGAAGTCCAGGCCAACAGCGTCGTCATGTCATGGAAGCCTCCTCTTGACAATGGCGGCAGCCCTATCACGTGAGTGCTTGGGGAGAGGAAGGGAAGGGGAGAGTGAGGAAGCAATAAGAGAGAGAGAGAGGGGGGGGAGGGAGAGAAAGAGAGAGAGAGAGAGAGAGAGAGAGAGAGAGAGAGAGAGAGAGAGAGAGAGAGAGAGGAGTTAGAAGAGAGAGAGAGAAGAGTTAGAAGAGAGAGAGAGAAACAAACAGACAGATAGACAAACAAGTAGACAGACAGACAGAGAGTTGAAGGGGGACAGGCAGACAGAGCGACAGACAGAGAAAGAGACAGAAACAGAGGTAGAGGGAGGAAGAAAGAAGCAGATACAGATTTGTGTGTGTGTGTGTGTGTGTGTCCGTGTTAGTGCGGTTATGATCTTAAATAATGTGATTATGAGTATATTTATTTACACCTTTATCATTTATCATCTGTACCGCGTAATCACATCCACAATTCTTCTCACTACAGTGGCTATGTGATCGAGAAGCGCGACCTCGACCACGGCGGCGGCTGGGTCCCTGCCGTGAGCTGGGTTGACCCCAAGAACACCCACGCCACCGTGCCGCGCCTCCTGGAGGGCACCACCTACGAGTTCCGTGTCATGGCGGAGAACATGCAGGGCCGCGGCGAGCCTCTGGCAAGCGACAAGCCTGTCACCGCCAAGGCTTCTGCTGGTAAGACTCGTTTCTGCGTCAGATTAGATGATATAGTTTACGATTGGTTACCTGTTGCAAACATGATGATATCTTAAATTCTGCCTTGAATCGGATGAGGGTCTGGATCAACCAGCTGAAAAATTCCTCTACATGAACGCCTGCCTCGCCTCTGTGCATCCCTGACTCATCCCTCCTTCTTGTCATCCTGCAGACGTTCCTGGCCGTCCCGGACGCCCCAACTGCGTGGACTCCGACAAGGACTTCATCAAGATCAGCTGGACTCCTCCTCGTTCCACCGGTGGCTCCCCCATCACCGGCTACGACGTCGAGCGTTGCAGCATCCACGCCGGCCGCTGGAAGAAGGTCAGCCGCGACAACGTGCGTGGAACGGAATTCACCGACGAGACTGTCAACGAGGGCGAGCAGTACCAGTACCGCGTCATCGCCAACAACAAGATGGGAGCGTCCATGCCCTCCGAGCCCTCGCACCCCATCGCCGCCAAGCCCATGCGCGGTACGTGGCTCCTCGTGAGGGCGGGGTCTATCTTTGTTATACCTGTTGATCTTTATTTAGCTGGCTATGTCGTTTACGTATATGTTTACGAGGTGTAGATTTATTCATGTAGGCATGAATACACATTTACACACTTACCTGTCTATGAATTTGTGTATAGATGTATGTATGTGCATATACGTATGTACTCGTGCATCCTTGTGCATCCCACCGTTCACTCTCTGACCACCGTCTCCCCGCACAGAGGCGCCCAAGCTGTACCTGGACGGCCTGCTGGGCAAGAAGCTCAAGGTGCGCGCCGGCGAGCCCATCGACATCAAGATCCCGATGTCGGGCGCCCCGCAGCCCTCTTGCGAATGGGCCAAGAACAAGAAGAAGATCGAGCCCAGCAAGAGGACCTCGGTGAGTTGAGGGCGAAAGGGAGGATAGAGGAAAAGGGTAAAGGAGAGAAATAGCAGGATGAGAGAAGCGATAGATTCACAGACGTATAATTTAGAAAATATAAACAAGAGGCAGATATTATTTTGATAAAAACATAAAATTTCATAAATAAAAAAAACTATCTGGATTCCTCTAGTTAAAACCGCTTTCCCCTTCCGCCAGCTGGAGACCACGAACGACCACTGCCGTCTGTTCGTGGACAAGTCCCGACGCGAGGACTCCGGCCCGTACACCATCACGGCCGAAAACGCCTACGGCAAGGACTCGGCCGACATCGAGGTAGGTGCCCGCCGGCGGAACGGTTTCATGGCGAATCTAACAATTCTATTGATTTTTTTCCTTCCTTTTTCATAATGTACTAATTGTAAATCATGGAAGAAATTGTTTCTAAGCTGATTGTTTCAAGGCCTGCGTTGTGTACTGTGTACTACAAAATGCCCCTCACAGGTCATCGTCGTGGACAAGCCCAGCCCTCCCATCGGGCCACTCACGCCCACGGAGATCACCGCCCACACCGTGTCCCTCACGTGGAAGCCCCCGCAGGATAACGGCGGCTCCGAGATCACCGGCTACGTCATTGAGAAGACCGAAGCCAACTACAACATGTGGAAGGTCGTGCCCGGGTACTGCCCCAAGTGCAACTTCACGGTCAAGGTGAGTGCCTGTCTCAGTGTATTTGAATACACGCACACACGCGGGCGCACCTGCAATGCACACGCACCCGCACGTGCATACGCACACACACTCATTCACATACACACACACACACACACACACACACACACACACACACACACACACACACTCACACACACACACGCACGCACGCACACACATATGCATGTATATGCATGTATACATAGACATACACACTGCGTTTGTATGAGTATTTTTTTGTTTTCTTTTTCACTATATGATTCTACATATGTAAATGATAGATTTCTACCAACAATGATCACGACCAAATGAGCAACCCCCCCCCCTCTCCCCAGGGCCTGGAGGAGGGCAAGAAGTACCGCTTCCGCGTCCGCGCCGAGAACATGTACGGCGTGTCGGAGCCTCTGGAGGGCAAGCCGGTGGAGGCCAAGAACCCCTTCGACCCGCCGGACGCGCCCGAGCGCCCCGACATCCTCGGCTACAGCCCGTCCACCTGCACCCTCGAATGGAAGCCGCCCGCGGACAACGGAGGACGTCCCGTTACCGGCTACATCATCGAGAAGCGCGAGCGCGGTGGCGAATGGATAAGGGTGAGTCGTGTGGATGCGTGTGGACTGTGTCCGACCACAAAAGCCTTCCCTGGCCACCGTTTTCATAAAGTAATTGACAATTTGAAACAATAAATTCTAACTCTGTCACTCTCGCCGCCAGGTGAACCACTACCCGACACCCAACACGGAGTACACCGTGCAGGGCCTGACGGAGGGAAGCCGCTACGACTTCCGCATCATCGCCGTCAACGAGGCCGGCCCCGGCAAGCCTAGCAAGCCTTCCAACTCCATCGTGGCGAAGGTCCAGAAGTGTAAGTCTTTCTTCTTTTCTGTATTATCGTGGATATTTATTTTTTTATGCATTTGATGTGATATAGATTAGACATGTATGGACTTTATCGTCGCATTGTTCGTCCTGCAGACCTGCCCGGGCCGCCCGACGCGCCCAAGCCGGACCGCATCGGCCGCAACTGCGTGACCCTCTCGTGGCGTCCGCCCAGCCAGGACGGCGGCTCCAAGATCAGGGGCTACCTGCTCGAGTACAAGAAGAAGGACGAGGAGGAATGGACTCAGGACAACAACCTGCCTCACCCCGACACCAACTATACTGTGCTCAACCTGACGGAGCTGCAGGAGTACGTGTTCCGCGTGATCGCCGTCAACGACGTGGGTAACTCGGCCCCGTCGCGCCCGTCCGCGCCCATCAAGATCGAGGAGCAGGCCAACAAGCCTCGCATCGACCTCAGCGGCATCCGCGACATCGTTGTTCGCGCCGGCGAGGACTTCTCCATCCACGTCCCGTACACCGGCTTCCCGAAACCGACGTCCATCTGGTACCACGACGACGAGGAGATGAACATCGAGGGCGACACACGCATCCACGAGAAGCTCACCGACGACTATTGCGCCATGATCGTCACGAACTCGAAGCGCACGGACAGCGGGCCGTACAAGCTCCGCCTCCAGAACCCGTCCGGATTCGACTCCGTGAACGTGAACGTGCGCGTCCTGGAC